GGGCTCCGGTCACCGGGTGACCGGGCCCGGTGAGGTGCCGGGACCCTCCGGTCACCGGGTGCTTGGGATACGGTAAGGTCCCGCTGTCACCGGGTGCCTGGCGGGGCGGGGGGACCCTCCTCTCACGGGGGTGCTTGGGCTCCAGTGAGGTCCCGCTGTCACCGGGCAGGTGGCCGGGCTGGGGGCACCCTGCGGTCACCGGGTGCCCGGATCCAGCAGGATCCTGCTATCAAGAGGTGCTGGCAGGGCTGGGGACCCTCCTGCCATGGGGACCCTGGGATCCGGCAGGATCCTGCCATCATGGGGTGCTGGCGGGGCTGGGGACCCTCCTGCCGTGGGGACCCTGGGATCCGGTAGGATCCTGCCATCATGGGGTGCTGGCAGGGCTGGGGACCCTCCTGCCGTGGGGACCCTGGGATCCGGTAGGATCGCGCTGTCACAGGCATAGGACCCTGCCAGCCCCGCGGTCCCCCACCACCACCCTGCCACCCCTTTTCCCTCAACGCCTCCGTCGAGAGATTCCCATCGGCCCCCGGATTCGGATTGACGCCTGCCCACCGGGCCGGTGTCTCTCCGGAGCATCGTGGCGAGACGTGAGGGGGGAAACCTCCCGTCTTGGGCAAACTGGGGCACGAACCGTGCAATCCTCTGACGTGGCGGGGTGTGCTGAAGGGAAGGTGGAAGTTGGGCTTTTGATTTCAGGCTTGCTTGCGCCGACGCTCGGGAAGTGAAACCGCTCTCGGTCCGTGAGGATTCTCCGTAAAGAAAGTGAAATTTTTTTAATACGCTTTTGGCCGAGCACAGGGTTTTGTTCGACGTTTAAGTTAAATCACCTAGTGCTGCTTTCCTTTGGAAAAAAAGGAAATTCCTTAGTTATCCTCTCCGAAATCCATCCAGAGCCTCGACGCAGGCTGCTCCTCGCTGGTGTTCAATACGCAGCCCATTCTTGGGAATACCGAAACGCCTTTTGTCCGAGTTGAAGTCGGATCCAGGCAGCTGCGTTGTTTTGCGGGAGCAAGTCCCACCAAAAACTGTTGGTTTTTTTTCAGGGAGTATTTAATTATGCCTCCCAGGCCCGTGGATTAATCGCTTAACGCTCCCGTGTCTTGTTTTATTTGCTCGTTCTCATGTTTTGTACAACGAACGCTGCCACCTCGTAGCCGGCGCTTGTGTCACGGTGCAAACCAGAGTCACCGTGCAGAATTCTTTCCTTCCAGCGCCTGTCGTGGTTTATTCGGTCATTTTAATAATGCTAAAATCACTGGGGGCATCAGCGAGGTGAAATTATCGGCTGATTTTCGGGAGGGCTGGCTCCGGAATGCCGCCTCCGTGCCAGGACACGCGCATCCAGCCCCTCGAAACGGCTACGAGGGAAACTTCATCGGGCAGAGCGAAGGCCGGGCAGGTTCCTCCCAACACGTCACCGGCGGCCGATCGCTTCCTTTCTCGCCAGCCTGTTTTAGGCTGTTTGCCCAGGGAGGAGCAACGCGGCGATGTCACCAGATATGTCACATTTTCCTGGTTGGGAGCAAACTCATCTGCGTGGCGCAGTGACAGCTGACCTTTGATAGCTGCTGTAACAACAAATACCGCCCGGAACGCCCCGTGAGTGTTGTTCGTACCCTGACTCCCGGTGTCTCCCCCAGCCGGGGCGTTTCCGTCTCCCTCCGGCACAGGAGTTTCGGGGCCGTCGGTCTCCCGTCGAGGGAGCAGACGGCAGGTGAGGTGTCTCAGTCTCGTCTCAAGCAGGCTCCCAGCGAATTCGTGGGTGTTTGTCGCGCCTGCACACGCTCCGAATTTCCTTTTTGGAAGATTTGGTGCTTGTTCTTCACTTAAGGCGAATCAGAACAGCAGAACAAAAGTCTGCGTTGTATTAAAAAGAGAACGGGTAGCTGCGGCACGTGCTGCTACCACCTTCTTCTGTTGTGGTCTGCAGGAGAAAAGACCACGTTTTGAAGGCAACGCTGGCCGTCAGGTGAAGTTTCGGGGCTGACAGGCGAGGTTTCGGTTAGCGGGAGGCGCGATCGGCAACTCCGTGGGCATGACGGCGCTGGGGAAGGGGCCTGGGGACACGGCGAAGCCGTCTGCCAGCCCCAGGGTGAAGCTGCGGTCCCCTCTCATCCCCTGTCCCCTCTTATTTTATCCAAAAATAAAATCCATCAACTAAGGAACCTTTTTCTGAATATTAGTGATTGGGGATGCAAACCAAAAAAAAAAACCCCATGCTGAGAAGGATTCTGAAACAAAGCCTCGGAAGAGGGAATTAATTTGTTATTAATAAAAGCGTGGTGGTGATGGGAGCCGTCATCTCGGTCGGTACCGATGCTCAAAAAGCGTTTGGCTTATTTACCACCAAGGGCAGAGCTCAGGCTGGCTGCAGCTCGTCGCCTTGCCTGAGGTGTGCGAGTGCTGTGGCGAAGGGCTCGGCGTAACGCACCAGACTTTTATCCAGAAAAAAGCTGAATGGCGAGATCCCATGGGAGCCGAAGAGCCGCGTCCTTCCTGGCTGCTTGCAGATGCTCTGCTCGGGAGACCTCGCCGTTCCCTTGCGTGTCAGGATAACGCCCGTCCGTTTAACTGGGAAGCATCTCCACTGGAATCGAATGGTTTTGGACTGCGAGCGGGACGCTGGCCTTTGAGAGCGGATTGCTTCAACCAGCACCACCGGAAAGCCAGAAAGGAGCCAGGCTAAGACGAATCTCGTTAGAAAGATGGGAGGAGGGCTGCGGTGGCTTCCCGAGCGCTGGCGATCCGTCGCGAAATGCTGCTGGCGAAGCAAAGAGGACCTCAGTGAGCATCTTTGACCGGCGCATCGGTGGCATCCCTTGGTTTTGCTTTGGTGTCGGGGCCTGGGGGAAACCAGTGCTCCCAGAGCCGACAGGGGCTTCCAGGTACACGTCCTTATCCGAACAGCCTTTGGGTTTGCCACATCTTTAAGTTTTCAAGCATGTAACAACGTTTTTCCTAAATTAGAGTAGATGGCCTCTCGAGCTTTTAAGGAGAGCATGGGCAGGGAAGCAGCTCTTCCCTAAGCATTGGTCCTGGTGTCACGGGCTCGTGTAGCTGTCCCGGGTTTTGATGGAAAGAAAATAAGTAGTAGCTTGTGTTTTCTGCCCTTTGTCGAAATTAGGAGCTTCAGGAGAATTTGTAAAGGGACGTAACGCACACCTGGGTTTGGCGTCTCTCGTTAGGAGGTGCTAACCCCTTGCTGGACACGGGGAAGCTCTTCTTTGTGCGTTGTCTTCCTGGCAGCTCGCCCCAGTTTTGCAGAGAGACGACTGGCTGAGCAGCAGAGAGACATGAATGTCAGACGCCGTCGAGACTTTGGGGGCTCCCGGTCGCCGTCTTGTATGGCCGTCGTGTTCTGAGCTGGTCCGGGGCTCCTGGCGCGAGACGCGACCGCTCGGACGCTGCACGGCCTTCAAAAAGCAGGGTGCTTTCCCCGAGGGTGGCACCGAGCACCCGAGCTGCCGCGGAGCCGTCAGCCCCTGGCCCTTCGCTTTACGTGCCAAGAGTTGCAGATGCTCCTCTCGCTTTCTCTGCCCTTCTTGTGCAAGAAGTCTTGAAAAAGCTGCTTTAAAAAAAAGTGCTCCGGGGCACCTGCGCTCCCCGAAAACCCGCTTTCTTTCCGATAGAGGCTCAGTTGCAGGTTTGTGTTGAGATGGAGCAACTTCCCCCTCCCCGCCCAGAGGTCGGCCCTTCTGCCCCGAGCCTGCGGTGGGTCGTGGGGCTGGCGCTTCCCCTTCGCCACCACGAGCCCGGAGAGCGTTCGCTTTCGGGTGGCCTACCCTCTCTTGCATCATGGCGCTGATACAGCTGCTTCTTCCTAGTCCTAGTTCTAAAACCGAGCCTCTCCGCATTGAAATCCCATCTTACGGTTTTACTGGCCCTTTTATTGCTATTTATCTGGCAATTTCTCCATTGCGCCGGCCTGTCTGTGTCTGTTCCACCATTTTTGCCGTCCCCAGGGTACCGAGCGGCTCCAAAAGCCCCCGAGGTTTGAAATTTTCCGGGGATTGTTTACTAAGGCCCATGTGTTAATCCTAATTGCCGTGTACCTAGTCAGACGGAGGAGTTAATAACTTATTCTTTCTTTTTCAGGTCAATGCACAACGAGATGGAAAAGAACAGGTGAGTGTTGGAGGCTGGTTAGGAGCCGGCTTTGGGTGAATCGCTGCTTTCCCAGGGGATGGGGAACCGGGGTCGGGGAGCCGAGGCGGCGTTGGGGTGGGGCGCGGGAGAGAAGGGACAGGACGGCTGGATTAAATGGCCGCCGAGGAGGATCCCGATGTTGCCCAAGGTGAGTGCTTGGACTTGAAGCATTCCCTGTCCTCGGCCGCCAGAGCAGCTGTGCAGTAAGGAGGTGGGAATGATATTTATCTCCTCTGCCAGTTCCCACTTCGCTGGTGAAACCCTTCATCCCACCGCTGAGCTTGCTAGGGAGAAGGGTTTCCAGCCCTCTCCCCGTTCCCGGAGGCAATCCCGTGCTGGTGGGATGGCCGTCATCCTCTGCTCGCCTGCAGTCGGGGTGTAGGTACCCGGCCAGGGCTGTGCACACAAATAACTGTGGTTATGGGTGACAGACCGGTGCGGTCTTTGTCGTCCGGCTGAAGGATGGCTTTGTGTCCTTGATGGGCTGCTCCTTTTCTCAGCAAGCCTTGGATGCAGCTCACATCTTGCCGTGTCCCGCTGCCAGTGCAGGACTGGCGTGAACTCGGCTGGTTTGCATTTTAAGAGGCAGAGCTGCCCCTGTCCCAAGTGACGTGGGTTAGAAAAGGCCAGGGACGTTTATTCCCCCTTTGAAAAGACAGAGAAAACTAGCGTTTGATTACTTCAGGCTCGCCTTGCGTCCCTCTCGCCTTGTTCAGACCAGAGCCCTGTCGAAATCCTGTTGGTAGCGTTGCACAAGCGAGCGCAGTAAATGCTCCGTCTTTTCCACCCCTTGGAACGGGGCGGAGACATGAGCTGCTCTCTGGACAGGGGTTGCGCGCCCCTTCTTCCTTCACTCCTCGTTAGAGACGCCTTAATCCCGTCCTGTGGCGGGCGGGCCGGGGAAACGAAGCCTCGACCACAGGTTGCTGCCTTCGCCCCCGGCACGAGGAGCAGCTTGGTTTGATACGGGGAGGGAGAGCGAGGGGACGATGGGTATCTCCCGGGGCGTAAGGACAAGCGCAACGAAACGAGCCGATGGGCTTGGAAGGTCCTTTGCCCGGGAAATGAATCCTTTGAGGGGTTTTTTTCTTTTATTATTATGAGCCAGTGGGATTTCTGGGGGTTTTTAAGCGTGGCAGCAGTTGCAGCTGGGTGAAGCATGGCAGAAATGCGCTTTTACGTAGGCTGCACCTCTAACTTTGAAGCGGAAACCCCAGTTTTGACTCCGGCGTTGGCGTTGTGTAATCCAGAAACTGGCTCGGCACTGGCCGAGCGGGGCGGGTTGCTGCTGCGCTACCCCTGCGTAACTTCTGCTAGGCAGGGCGGGCTGGTTTTTTCCATTCGATGTTTTTCTGGTGCGAAAGGCCAGCGTGACAAGGGGTTTTTTTTTAGCAGAGGTAGCCGAGGATTTCCATTGTGCTGCCGCAGCCCTCGCAGAGGGCGGCTGGGCTAGCGCTTGTCCCTAGATCTCGCAGGTAAATCACTTGTAAGCCGGCACAGCAGTCAGACAGGTCCGCACCGCTCCGGGCAGCTCTTCCTCCCCCTGCTCAGAAGAATCATCTTTGCAAAGGCTCATCTTTGAGCCTGTCCGTGTTTGGGATTTACCCGAACGGTAAAGAGCACGTGTGTTGTTGGCATTGAAATTCAGAAGGTGCTTTGTGTGGGCAAATGCCTGTTTACTCCTAGCATGCCCAGAACAAGATAGGCAGGTACTTGCAAAATCCCAGTTTGCAGCTGCCTGTGTCGATCGGGTGTTTCAAAGGCGGGTGTTGCAACTGATGCCCAAGAATGTGACCTAAATCTGGGGCTGGAGTGGTGAACACGAGGGAAGCCGGCCCGAACTGGGAGCATCTCGGTTATCCACAGATAAAGGGGCTTCCTCGAGGAGCCAGCGTTTCCCTCGGCGGTGGTATGCGAGCGGTGGAGCATTAGCCTACGGGTGAACGCGGACAAAATCTGGGTGCTATACGGGGAGGGAGGGATTCCTGGCAGGCTGCTGCGCCGGGGCGGCCGAGGAGCGTGGTGCCGGCATTCCCTCAGGGACCTGGTTTTGTTTTGACCGGAGCTGCGTGTGCCAAGGCGATGGATCCGAACCTGGCCCGTTCCTACTGAAAACAGGGAAAGGAAGCGCTCCCAAGGGACACGCTGGGTTTACAGCTGCGTGGCGTCGGCCCGGACGGCTTCAGCTGTCGGTGGAGCAAGGCAGTGAGCGAACAGCATCCCTGTAGTGAAGCTTTTTGGGAGGAGAAAGATCAAAAGTGGATACTCTCGCCTGGCAACTGAACACCCCATAAGTTGGCAACACAGAGTGGTTAGTTTGGACAAGTCCAGGGATGGGGACAGTTTGGCCTTCTCTGCCTTTGAGCCTGTATGAACTTTCAAAGTTCAAGCCTTACAAAATATATTTCTGTCTCGCTGCCCAGATCTGGAAAGGCTTTTGGTCTGCAAAAAGTGCAGATCTTTTCCTTCTCCCTTTTGGATTCTTGTAGTTACAGCTGTATATGCACAAGGCCCTCATTCTGGGGTACTGGAGCCAGTCGAGGTCTCTGGCCGCTCCTCGCCAGCAAGCGTCCCGACAGCCCGAAAGGCGCCGGCAGGGTTCTGTCGGTGGGGCTGGCCGAAGCCGGAGGCGGGTTTTTCAGAGAGGTCCTTTTGTCTGGCTGCAGTTTTCGCCCGGTGTACGGAAGCCGCCGGAGTGCGGGAAGGCGTCTGGTTCGGCTTCGCTTCCGACCACCCTGATTATCCGCGCTTGCAGGGGGAAATGCCGTTTGGGAAGCGGGTGCCTGAGCGCTCAGCGTGTTGTGTGATCTTCCTACAGGCGTGCCCACCTGCGGTTGTGTTTGGAGAAGCTGAAAGGGCTGGTTCCGCTCGGACCCGAAGCCAGCAGGCACACCACCCTGAGTTTACTAACGAAAGCTAAATTGCACATCAAGGTGAGCGTGGGCTGGGTACTGCTCTGGGAGGTGCAATGAATTGGGCTCCGTCCCCGTCGGGTGGGTGCCGAGCTCGGCTTCGAGAGCAGCACCGCCGTACGGGGCGCAGGGTTTTGGGCCATCCGGATCCTTGAGCGGGACAAAGGTAACGGCCGGGTGCGAACGTTGCTTTGGAAACACTGCTGGAGGTCGATGCTGTTGCGGGTCGGTGCCCTTCTCACCGCTGGCACAGCGAGTCCCTGCGATTCTCCTTATCAACGGGCTCGTAGAGGGCAGCCACAGAGCTTTACACGCCGCCTACACCGCAGCAATGCCCAGAGGCCCTAGGGATGGGACTGGCTGCGGGACTGGAGGAGAGCTGCTTTTTTTCCTTTCTTTTCTAGAGTACTTTGTACTTCCCTCCCTGTCCTTTAGACTTTGACTCGACAGGGCTCTCCTCCCTGGGTGTGTTTAGAGCTCCGTGAGCTGAGATAACCAGGGGAGCGCTGGCACCGGGCTGCACTCGACTCCCTAGTTATCAAAGACGTGGAAAATATATAAATAGGATGGGGCCGGCTCCAGCGTAGCTGCGCATGTACACTGTTTGGAGGGGGAAGGGTGCTTGACGTGCCTCTCCGGCGGCCGGGGGGCAGGTCCAGACCTCTCCGTCCCTGGGCTGGAGGCTGCAGCCGGCCTCGACGTCTGTCAGAGGAAAGTTGCATCCGCATGCGCTCGACGTCCCGAGTGCGGGCCGCCGTGCTGAAGCCGGGGAGCCCCTCGGTAGTTGGCGGCGGTCGCGTTTGGGTGGCTCGGGTCGCGAAAGCGATGCTTCCCGCGCGGCTGGAGGCTGGGGAGCTCAGGGTGCCTTCTCTTTCGTCCTCTGCAGAAGCTTGAAGACTACGACAGGAAAGCCGTACACCAAATAGACCAGCTGCAGCGGGAGCAGCGGCACCTGAAAAGGCAGCTGGAGAAGCTGGGGATAGAGCGGATAAGGATGGACAGCATTGGATCCACTGTTTCTTCGGAGCGCTCGGACTCGGATAGAGGTGAGACCCTGCGCTCAGGGTGGAGCGGGGCCGGCTGGCGGGAGATCACAACGGCCGCGTTGTGACACTAACCGTTCCTCTTGCAGAAGAGATAGACGTGGACGTGGAGAGCACGGATGACCTTCCTGCGGACCTCGACTGGAGCAGCAGCAGCCCGAGCGACTCGGACGAAAGAGGGAGCCTGCAGAGCGTCTGTAGCGACGAGGGCTATTCCAGCTCCGGCGTGAAGAGGTTGAAGTCGCAGAGCAATCGCAAGCCTTCTCTCGGTCTATAAGAAGCAACTC